GCCCGCGCCGGCCGCCGCTGCTCGCGCTCCACGCGGCCTTCGGGGCCGCCGCTCCGCCGGGGCGGAGGGCTGGGACCCCTCGACGAGCCGGCCGCTGGGTTTCTGCACCCAGGAAGTTGTGCACGCCGGGCGTGGCGGAAGGAATGCCCTGACTTAGGGTTTGCATCTCAGCGCCAGCACTTGCCGGCTCTGTGGATTTGGGATAAATGCTCTAACTTCCCAGATGCTTCAGGCTCATCTATAACGGGATTAATCTGACCCATGATAGACTCGGAGATCTATCGATCTATCTATACCTGTCTATCTGATTAGATCTGGAAGAATCCTCCCCAAACCCGTAGTGATGATGACGTCTGGAGAGGGATTTGGAACAGGATGGAGATGTTTTGGTTTTTACTCTGTATGTTTATATGTTGGAATTTTGTAAAACCACAAACGTTAGCCATATGCAAATACAGTATTGTGTGGTTAGTTGCTTTCCAGTGAATTTGGACTTGGCAACCTCACGCATGCCGAGTAGAACTGCTCGGTAGGGTGGTTACAAACCGTGACCTGTGGAAGCCTCCTCACCAGCCCACCAGTGCCTCTGGGTGGGCTCAAACTGCCAGCCTTTCACCCAGTAGGCGAGTGCTTAACCGCTTGTGCCACCCAGGGGCCCCACCACATTCAAGGGAGAATCCCATGATCTCTCAATACTATTCTCCGCTAGCTTTTTGATGCCGCCTGGTATTTATTATGTTAAAAATAGATCGTATATATTGTTGCAGATGGAATTAGATTAAACGTTAGCACTCTGTTTGCACAATGATGTATGTATGGATTGTGATAAGAGTTGTATGAGCCTCTAATAAAATCATTTTTTTAAAGTTAGCACTCTATTATTTGATCTTCCTTATGATCCATTTCTAGTTTTTAAATATTTTCTTTTACATTGGGTTTTTTATCTGTTTTGTTTATTCTTGTTAATTTTGGGTTCTTTGTTTTTAAATGTTTTTCTGTAGATGAAATCCAGGAGCGGTAAATCTACAGAGACAGTATCTGGATTAATGGTTCCTTGGGTGCACGGCAGGAGTGGTTGCAGGGAAATGGGGAGCTAATAACGATGAGTTCAAGAAAGAAGAAATGTTCTAGAACTGATTGTGGTGACGATTGCACAACTCTTTTTGATGTGATTAAACTATTGCATTGTATGATGTGTGAATTACGTGCCCATATAACTGTTGTGGGGAAAAGACACAGCACTATATATGTATAGTGTATGATCTATATATAAATAATCTGGTAAACCAAAATCTCAATGCCATCGAGTTGATAATCAACTCATAGCGACTCTATACGACAGGGTAGAACTGACTCTGTGAGTTTCCAAGACTAACTCTTTTCCCTTTTTAAGACTGTAACTCTTTCCTGGAGTAGAAAGCCTGTCTTTCTGCCTTGGGGAAGCTGGTGGGCTTGAACAGTTTGGCAGCGGTAGAGCATAGATGGTCAGTTGCATTGTAGTCAGTGCTCTGAACACAAAGATGGACGCTCTCGCAACACTGGCCCCACCCTGCACTCCTTGAGCATCTTTTGTTTGCACTTGGTGGTGAGGTCACAGCTAGAGGGACAGTCCTGCCTCAGAGCTGGCTCAGTGGGGGACCTGGGGGAGGTAAGTGCTGAGCTCAGCAAACCAAATGTTATCTGAAGGCAAACTCCGTGAATCTAGAAAATGCTTTTTAACATGTCAAGAAGTGTATCCGTATTTGAAATTAGCATGCACATTTTGTTTTCTCTTTCAAGTTCTCTTTGAGTTCTCTTTCAAGAAAGGCCCATTTCTGCCGCTCTGAATCATCTCTATTTCTTCATATTTTGTCTTTGTGTTTTGTTTTTGAATTTGTAAGGTTACAAGAAATAACAGATTTGCAGCTTTCCAGAACAAATACCCGCCAGGTGCCACAGGCCTGCTTTGCCGAGGTTCCACTCCCAGGGAGACCTCTGGGCAGGTCCGTGAGGCCCCTGTTACAAAGTGGGCATGGAGGACAGTGGTGCTGGATGTTCTGTTTTTGTAGTTGTGTTTCCAAGACAAACGATCTTCTTGTTTTAAAAGTCAAGGAAAACAACATTTTAAGGTTAGCTGCTGTCAAATCTGTCCCCGACCTTTGATGACCCGTGCTCAAGGGAGCGAACTGCTTCCCTTATAGTTTGGAAGGTTTGCTGACATCTGTCCAGCACCGTGCAACACACAAGACCTCCAGGTCTCCTGCCCAGAAAGCCAGAATTCTGACCCATCACTGCTTCCAAAGCCCCCAGTGGACCCAACAGGACATGACTGTGGGGGCAGATTGACCGCAGGCTTCCATTTCAGTGCTGCTGTGGTCCTGTGTTCCCAAAGGAGTTGAGCAGCGAGTAGGTTAAAGCCCGCCTCCCAGGAGTACCAGTTTATCTGCAGACTCTGGGTGACACGGTCCTCACCCAGATATTTATAGTCACAGATATGGAGCGGCCAGCCCTTTCCCTCCGACCTCAGAGTACAATGCCTCTGATGAGCTGCCCTGCGGGGATGAGGAAGATATTTTAAGCCAGGGACCCTTCACTGTCCCCTCTCCATCAGCATCCACTTATCTGCAAGGAGGCCAGCGCAGAGCAGGAAGGTGGGACTCAGAAGAGTGGAAAGGAGCTTGGGAGGGGAACGTCTGCCCTTTGACATTGTAGCTGCCGTGTACTGAAGGTCAGAGCTAGTCCTTTCCATTAAGACGTGGCTGCGGACCAAAGAGCTCACAAGACCGACTGCAGCTGTTACCTCCCACACGGGAAAATGCTGCATCACGTAAGAAAATGCCCTATGCTTCCACAACTTGGGAAGTTCCAAGTTCAATCTGTAGGTGTTGTCTTCCGAAGGAAAAGACAAGGCTTCTTACGAGATTCTCTACTGCATGGCGGGACAGGACTGATAACGGACAGGGGAAGGCACGGCTGAGCACTGGTCAGGCTCAGGGCGCAACACAGTGGTTTCACAATCACAGCGTGTGGCCGCTCGTAGGTGCTGGCCAGTTGTTTCAGCGTCATAGCTGTTCTGTCCACAACAGAAGGGAGCACTGCTGGCCTGTGTGGGAGGGAGCCCCTGTGTCCATCCACCTCGTCAGGGGCCTCCCTCTCCCACGGCCCTGGTACTTCACCACGATGCCCTTTCCAGGGACTGCGCTCTCTCCCCATCCTTACTTCTAAGACGCATCTGACTTTACTTCCCCCAAGACAGATTTGCTTGTTGACAACATGGGTCACGTCAACCCGGCACATCTGGGCCTGGGGCTGTTACAAGAAAGTCACACCCCTTCCCTTTTGGTCCTTTTTAAAGTCCTCTTGGTGGTTTGTTTTATTTTTTACAGTGAAGGGGAAACATGCGGATGAAGTCCCCGGCGAGCCCCCTCTGAGCATGGTCTCCGGGCGAGGACGGCCTTGCCCACCTGCAGGCGACACTGGAAAACGGGTTGTTGCCAGTGCAGCCAGGTTGACATTTAGCACCCTCTCATTGGGGCTCCCGTGTGATCCACTTAAATTTGTTCTCATTTTTAATATTGTTTGCTTTCTTTTCTATTAGGTTCTTATCTGTCTTGCTTGGTTTTGTTTGTTTGTTACGGTTTTCCTGTACGTGAAGTTCAGGGCCGATTAAGCTATAGAGACTGTAACTGAATGAACACACCTTGGAGACGAGCATAATGATGAAGAAATGTCCTCAAACCGACTGTGGGGATGATGGTACAGCCCTTCTGGGTGTGACCGAACTGCTGACTGTAGGGCACGGGAACTAGGTGCCAGTAAAACTGTGGGAAATAATAAGCAAACAACGTTACACCCCTTACCGTGCCTAGTCCTCACCGCGATCCTGATCGGGGACCGTGAGGCCGCTTTACAGACCTGGAGCCGCACACAGGGATGGCCGGGCACTTGTCCACAGCTAGAAAGTATGCGAGCCACGATTCTAAATTTAGGCACCATCTGTATATGTTTTGTTCAAGTGACATTTTTTGAAAAAAAAAAAGTTAACTGAGTTAGCTGAACTCACTTAAGAAAAATGGAGGGGGGGAGTAGATGAAGGAAGCTGTATTTGTTTTGAATTAACATTTTTTTAAGAAAATGTATCATTAACCACTTTTTTTAATTATGGCAAATATATAGGTAATAGAATATTTGCCATTTCAACATCTTTCATACCTGCGGTTCAGTGAGATGGAATATGTTTTTCTTAACATTTTTTAACCTAAGGCTTTCGTGTTTCGTGTGAGATGATGACCCCACGAGGAAGCCACCTGGGTTGGGGTGGCAACAACAGCGGCATCTGCACAGAGCCTGTGGGTGCCTTGCTGTCTCTCAGAAGCCTTTGTTCCGGAAGGGACCTTCCATTCCTAGCTGCTCGAGGAATGGTCCCCAGGCTGATCCCCAGTGGCTGTCCACGTTGCCTCACGCTGTTTCTCATTCCTTCAGGGGTGTAGGTTGACCCCTTTCACCCACTGCCCGCACCAGTAAGAAGGACCTGCTGTTACCAGTTACCTGTCTGGAGGGCGGGGACCCTCCTTCCTGTTTCCCGTTCTCCCATCACCCTCGAACACACTGACGCAAACCCCAAAGAACCCCCCCACTG